CAGGCATTTCTGGATGCGGGGAATCCGGGTACCAAAGCTGCAGTGGGTGGAGGAAGTGGTTGGACCTGCTTCCCAGAGAAGGGGCATTCAGGAGAAGGGTCTTAAATGGAACAGGACTGACCTGAGGAGGGGTGGCTGGCATGACAGCAGAGGCTGCTGGGGCGGTGGGGAGGCAGGCATCTCGTGTCTGACTCTGAACATGGGAGGGAACCGGAGCATGAGAAGGCACCAGAAAGGTCACGTGAGTGTTTATTACATAGAAAAGAGGGAGGGGAAGAAAAAGGTTCCAAAGCCAGATTTCCAAGGATTAAAAACAAACAACAAACAAAAACCTACAAACACACAAACTTAGAATGCCAAGGATGTCGTGCTTGCTGTCTATGCAGTGGCAGTTCGTGCGTCCATGGAGTTATGTACATGGAGTTATAAACACAGGTTTCTGTCGTCAGACGTGATGTTTCCATTACATGGACAGCAAAGCTGCTCGAGTCACAGACTTTAAAGCTGGCAGAGGCCGGAGAGCAGAGTGCACCCTACAGGGCACAGGGGCCCGTCAGGCTGGGCTATAGGCAGCCCTGGACCCCAGGCTATGAGAGTGGTCCAGGGTGAGTCCGGAAGCTTCTCTGAGGTCCCCAACATTGGAAGTTTTCTTTGAAGAATAGCGCTCGTCATTAGCCTTGGTTGTGGGCTGTCACCTTGGCTGGGTTGGGCTGGGGTAGGGTCCCCGCAGCTCAGTGCAAATGTACAGCAGTTAGTTCAACAGAGAGGAAAGAGACCCAGCAGCAGAACCCTGCAGATCTGAGCGCTTGTCCCCATGCAGCCACAGCAGGTACACTCAGAACCAAGTGCCTTGCTTTTCCAGATGTCGTTTTCAAAAACAGCACCACATGCAGCAGCACGGAAAATAACAGCCTACAAAGTGGGCCAGCCCCTACCACTGGACGCTGCCTAGGCCTTCCTGGGGGGAGCAGGAGAGTACACACAAGAGTCTGTCCCAGCCACCATGCCCCTCCTTCCTGCTGGACATACCCTGCCCCTGCTCTCCCCTTGGTCCCTGGGCCAGGACAGGTTGGGACTATGGGAACAGTCAGGACAACCCTGCCCTACTCCGGGCAAACCCAGTCCTGCTGACCCAGCGATTCAGGGTGCATGAAAGAGAAAGAGAAGAGAAAACAAAAGGGACTCTGCCCATGTGAGGGTGGGGTGTGATAAGCATGCGCTGTGGAGTCCACACAAGCCTGGGGGTTGGCAAACCCAGGCAGGAAGACAGAGATGTGGGTGCGGGAGGGGACTGAGATTCCCAGGCAAATGCAAATCAAGGAGCAGCTGATGCTAGAAAAATGGCTTGTGTACAAGCCAGATTGTCGCCTGCCTTCCAGCCCTCTGGGATGCATCAAGAGGGGACAGGAAGCAGGGTCTACTCTCCCTAGAAAAGTCTGGGCTCCAGACTCTGTTGGAGTCGCAGCTTATTCCACGGAGCACAGCTTGCCTCTTGCCAGTCCCCTGTTAGGCCCAACCCTGCTCTGTCCACAGGCAGTCCCTATAGCCCTGCGGCTGGACCTCACTGGTCTTGACACTGTGGGGTCACTCTACCTCTGTGTGACCTTGGATTTAGAATGGGCCCATGAATGCCTTCATAGGAGTCCTTCTGTCTGGAGGATCCATGGACTTTCAGAAGCTCTAAGATAGACGCCAAGTTCAGGAGCTGAGCCTATCACCCACCAACTGAGGCATACACGGACTTCAAAGCCATGCTGGTCTGGGAAGACCGTTGCCCTTCCCCTGCCACATTGGCCTCCACATGCCAACAGCCCACACATAGCACTATCTGCAGGGAGCAGCAGCAGCCAGGCCTTGGGGAAGGTGCCCTCACATCTGCCTCACTGGGGAAGCTGGACAGCATCTGAGGCAAGGTGATGAGGCCAGACTTGCTTCAAATTTGGATCTGCAATAGCACTCCCAGGGAACTTACTGGACAAATAAACAAAGCAACAGAACGAGGGCTGCTCAGGGTCAGCAGGTGGCTTCTCCCCAATTCTATAGAGAGGACCACGTGTGTCCCTCAGCCCCAGGCTCTGCATCTGTCCAAAGGTGTGTGTGTGTGCGCGCACGTGTGCATGTACACACAGATGAGCAGCAGTGGCTGCAGCTGCACGCAAGCCTGAGGCCCCAGCCATACTCAAGGTCTCCCATGTCAACCTTGGCAAATCCTCCAAGGAAAGCCCAGCCAGAGGGAATCCCAGTGGCAGAATGCTCAGCATGTGCTGGGGAAGCCAGTATAGAGGGATGTGAACCATTCTGCACGTCCCTTTCTGCCTCTCCATGTGCAACCAGACTGGCTCCAAGCCAAGGGCAATAGCTTATCCAGCTGGATCAGACGTGGGAGGGTCCCCACAGCACAGCCTCCACTCCACAGGCCTAGCACCTGGACAGGGCCAGACCTGGACCCAGGCACCTTCTACTCCCCACTGTCCCCGAGACTCCAGCCTTCCCCAGCTGGGCATCCTAAACCATCCCACTGTTGGGGGACACTCCCAGACTATCTGATAACAACCTTGTCACCAAGGGGCCCTGGGGACATCTCATTGAGTCTGATGTTCTCTGTACATCTGGGATTCTAGCCCCCAGCTCCCACAGGCAGGTACCTCCTGCTGAGTGCCACAGCCTAAGCCTGAAATGCACCCTGTGCCTGTGGGGCCAGCAGTCCTGTGTCACACACAAAGGCAAGGGATGGTCTGCATGTCTGCCAAGCACCGTCAGGCCCAGGGACCCAATCTCAGCAGGCAGTGGGGGGAGGGCATTTACAGGTGTCCACCTGACAGCTGGAGGGGCCAGCTCTAGACCACGCTGTTCCTATGTTCGGGAAGGAGAAGTGGGCCAATCCAGAGGACACTATTTTGAGCTGGTGCCACCTACATGGCAACCCTCACAGGCTCATTGTTCAGGAAGCAGGCAGGGCGGGAGGGTGGGCTCTCAGCAGCGACTCCCACACACCTGGTAACTGGAAAGGGGCTTCCTCCTGAGACCGGTGTGTGCTCCAGCCTGCAGAAGCAGCCCACAGGGAAGGGGAGGGGAAGGTGGGCTGGGGAAAGGGATGGCCTTCCAGGAACTTCCCCTGCATGAAGCCACCCCACACTGCAACTCACGGTGACACCTGCCACTCAAGCTGTGCCCACCTGCATCTGGATTGTCACTAAACACGCGACACAAATTGCTATCTCTTCTCTACCCCCTCAGAAGCCACCCCCAACCCAAGCCAGGAAAATGGAATCCTCCTTCTTTCTCTGGTGGGCGAGGGCCTTTTAAGGATTTCTTCACTTAGCGGGACCAGCACAGAGGGGCCATGGGATGGAGGCTGAGCCTGTTATTTCCCTCAGCTGAAGCTGTTTTCCTGGATTAGCAGCTCTGACCCCACAGTGTGGCTTCCTCCAGAGCAGGGAGCTTCCAGCTTGGAGGTATCCTGGTGTTTAGGATAAAAATTAGATCAGAGCCCCCAGTCCGAAGACATGGAAGTTCCCAGCTCCCAGCTGCATTCAAGTGGAAGAGGCAGTAGGAAGGGCCGAAGGCAGAGTTAGTGCTCCAACAGGGCAGTCCAGGGATGGAGGAAGGAGCAGGTGCTAAGAATGCAAGCGCAGACAGGAGCGGATAGAGGCTCTACCTCAGTGGACGTCCTGGCTGAGCCCTGGCTGAGGTGGATGAGTGGCCCCAGGAAGGTCTGTTTCTCTTAGGTGTGCTTCCACTGAGTTGGGGGCAGCGAGGCCTCAGAGCAGGGAGAAGACAGGTGGCTAGACACATCCCTGTTCTAACCCTGGCCAGTTGTGACCTGCCAGGGAAAGCTCCTCCTCCAAGATGGATACTCTCAGGGCATGGGGGAGTAGAGTAGGAGGGGCGGGGCGAGGTGAGGATGGAGAGGACCTGCCTTTGGACCAGACCTTCTCTCTCTCTCTCTCTCTCTCTCTCTCTCCCCCCCCCCCCACAGGGGCTCTAACTCTGTGCCAAGGAGACCCCCATGGGTCTCCTTTGCCATGGGTAGTCTACCCCTCTGTCTGCAGGGAGGATGTTGGGACAGAGGCCTCAGCACCCACACACCTGGCTTGCACCTCCGATGGGCTTAATCCGTGCAGTGGTGTTCTCTGACCCGGCCCAAACCAGCTATGTACAGTGCTTGGTGACCCCAGTGAATCTGATGTCACACATTTCTCTGCAGGAGCATTCACAGGCCTGGGGCCTGCCAAGGTAGTCCAGTCCCACTCAGTGGGTCATATTCCTGTTTTCAGCTCCAACATTTTTGAATTCTTCAGACTCCAAGGATGTCAGGGAGAAAGGAGTATGGGTAAAGGATGCCCACCATGCCCATTCACCCCAGGTCTAGCAGTGTTGGCCATGTCAGCACCTTCCAGGCTGGAGTCACTGTCTTCCAGAGAAGTGGGGCCAGTGCTCCAACAGGGCAACAAAGCACAGCCGGGGCTCAGCATTCAGTGGCAAGGCGGCCAGTGGTGTGGGCCCAGGAGACTCCTGCAGAAACCCACCCTCCCCCTGAGGCCCATGGCCTCTCCATGCTGGGCTAGGGACTGGTCACCTTCTCCCCATCAGGCCACAGAGTCCACTCTGAGGGCACCAGGTTTTGAGGTAGGGCTTGGGGTCCCTCAGGAGATCCTTGGCTCACCTGCTCCACATTGTGTCCTGGCCATGGGTGGTGGGTGCCCCAGCCTGGAGTGCCCCAGCCCCCCTCCTATCAGAACTGCTATCTCTAGCCTGCTCCCCAGCGCTCTGGGTACTGCGCCTATGGCACTTTCTGGAACAGGAGGAGGGCCCGGCAAGCCCTCAGAGCCTGTTGAGAAAAGCAGATGCGTTTTCACAATAAATAATATTTTTAAAAATAGTCCCTTTCCACCCCAAATCTGAGAACAGCAGAAGGAAACATGTAAAGGTCTTGGTGCCCGGAGCCACCTGGCTCGGTCCCTGCAGAGCCTTGGACTCTCCCCGCGGCTCCTGTGTGCTCACAGCTGCTGTGGGATGCCTTGATCCTTGTAGCCTGTGGAGAAGCAGCAGAAAAGAGATGGTCAGAGTCCCACTCCCTTCTGGCCATCTTCCCAGGATATGCCCCCAGACCTGCACATGGTCACAAGACCAAGTTTATACTAGAGTGTCCGTGACTACTAATTCCAGGACACCACCCATGATGGGGGCTTCCCTAGGGCTTCAGTTTCAGTGGAAAACAAAAAAGAATGGATCAAGAGCTGCGGAGTACTAGGTTCCTTGGGAATGTATGAGAGGAGGGTATTTGGAGCAGGGCTGGAACATGCTGCTGTGCTCCCAACTATGTGCCCAGCAGTGACCCCCCACAGACACCTGGCCTGGTGTAGCTTCCCAAGGCAGAGCCCCAGGAGCGGATGCCAGACAGCCTCCCCCAAATGAGGCAGGCAGGGCATAGGTGGAAAGAAAATGAGGAGGAGGAAGAAGGCAGCACACAGAGCAAATAGCCGTCTGTGCATATGTCCAGCTAACTGGACTGCCAAGACAGGAAAAGGGGACTGGACCTTTAAGACCTCATTAATGCCAGTAAGATCTTCAGGGAAATTTGAACACTGCTGGAACCAAGGAATTGTTGCTAATTAATGTGGGTGTGTGAAGGTATTGTGTTCATGCTAGTTTTTTTTTTTAAGATACTTTAGAATATTTATGGCTGAAATGACATGAGTGGAATTTTCTTTTAAATATTTAGTTATCTGAAAGTCAGAGTAAGAGAGATCTTCTACCCAGGGGTTCACACTTCAAATGGCCTCAACAGCCAGATCTGGGCCAGGCTGAAGCCAAGAACTCTATCTGGATCTTCCATGGGTGGCAGGGGCTCAGGCACTTGGCTCATCATCTGCTGCCTTCCCAAAGTGCAATAACAGGAAGCTGAATAGGAAGTGGAGCAGCCAGAACACAAACTTAGCCTGCTGTGTCCCATCACTGGACTGGTGAGTGGAATTCACTGAGTTGTTACCTCCAATTGGCCAGCTAATCTAGCCTGAAGAGGAGAAGTAGGGAACTTCTCTTTACTGAACAGCTTCTTTGCTAATTTTAAATGCTAAGAATCCAGTGCTGGGTGGGCATTGGGGGAAAGATTTGAGGAAGACAAACAAGCACGGCCATGAATTGATCAGAGTGAAGCTGCCGTGTATGTTACCAATTCATTATAACAGGTGCACCATTTTTGTCTATGTTATAATGTTTTTCAAAAACAGGAGTGGCCATTTGATACCACAGTTAAGATGCCGTTTGGGATGTCCCCATCCCATACAAAGTGCCTGGGCTTGAGACCTGGCTTTGTTCCTGACTCCAGCGTCTGCTGATACACACCCTGGCTCAAGCAGGTGGGTCCCTGCCACTCACATGAGAGACCTAGATGAAGTTCCCAACTCTTGACCTCAAGGCCCATCCCCAGAGGTGGTGAGCATTTGAGGAGTAAAACCAGCTGATGGAAGCTCTATCCACCCGTTTCTCTCTCTCTTTCAAATAAATTATTTCAATAAACAAATTTTTTAAAACTTTCTAAAAACATTTTTTTCTAAAATGTAAAAACAAACCAAACGCCCATTGACCGAGGTGGAGTGTGAGGTGGGGTGGGTCACAAGCAGGGGTGAAGCGCCTGGGAGGACTCACCTTGGGAAACTGCAGCAGGGCAGGGAAGTGAGGCAGCAGGAGGAAGAAGGGGAAAAAGAAAAAGAGAAGCAATCTGAAAACAGAGGCCACAGGAACGTGCAAAATACGGAAGAAGGGAGGACCCAAGGGGGGCTGTGCCAGGGGCATCGTGGTGGCCAGGCCTTCAGATAAGGGGCCCCATGCTGGCTGTGGCTGGCCACAGTGGCCAGCAGCCAACCCACCAGGGGGATGGACATGGCCTCCCCTCCTGATCCTGCATGCCCTATCCAGTGCCTCCCAGTCCTGCAAGCAATTATACTCACACTGCGGCTCATCCCTGCCCTTGCTCTCTGTTGAGCCCCAGCCCTTGCTTGCCTGGACATGAAGCCAGGGACCTGGCAAAGGACAGCTGCAGTACTGGTCAGATTGCTACAAACTAAATCTGCCATAGTGCTCCAGCTTTGGCCCTGGCCCAGCTCTGTCTAGGGCATGTAGTGAGGCTTATCTGTGGTCAGAAGCCACATATATAAAACCTAACACTTGGGTAAAGACCCAGGTAAGAGGGTGACAAATAGGTTTCATCTGTGCCTGCCTACAGCCCAGTGCGGAGAAAGTATGAGATGGCTCAGCAGGAAGTGTCATGATTGATTAGCAGTGTCTGCTATGGGTACAGCAGTAGAAGAGTCCACCATGGAGTTGCCAAGTGTTCATTAACCCATGACCAAGTCAGGCTTTTGTTGCTTGCTCTTTGTTATCATTAAGACACAAACAGCAGCTCACTTACAAGTTCCTGAATTTAACTTGCACTTTGACCTGAATTTCCCTGAATCCCCCACATTGAGGTTTTTCTTGATAGTATATTTGCTGACATCACCTGTGTGACACCACAAGAAAAAACCCACCTGTATTGTTCCAACTGCAAAATGTTCTTCATTATTACAAGTAGGGGCTAGATCAGCAGCAGAGAGAGTAGCTCCTTGTCCTACTGACTAGACAGGTCAACTATGGCTACTCCCTTCAGAGGAGTCACCCTGGGACACACACACTCACTGTTGCTTAGAGTGCTTAGGGCTGCCCCCTGCCCTCTTACTCCTCGGGCTGCCCCTGATTACCCAGCATCTACCTGCTTTGCTCTGATGCTCAGACACCTCCCCTGCCCTCTGCTCCCAGCCACTCCCAGGCAGTCTGCCTAACCAACCCGCTGGCTCTGAGGGTCTCACCTCAGGCTCTACTTCCTGCACTTTCTCTTGCCCAGTGGCCACTGGCTGTGGCCCCGGCCATTGTGTACACACTGGATCCTGGATTGTCCCAGGATTCTGAGTTCAGGCTAAGTCAGCTCCAGACCATTCTAGGATCCCTGGATTCTGGGCTTGCCTCCTTCCTGGGTCATCCTTCTCCTGTAAGGCTCTTTTACTCATGGCTCTGGCAGGTGCAACTGGGAATGGTTTTGTTGGGTATAGAACACCAGAGGGAACACAGGATGGGAAGTGGCATGAGTGGTAAAGCACCCAGGACCTAGGGTCCCCAGTACTGAGCAACTGGGGCTTAACAAAGCAGGTGACACTGAGGAAGCACAGGGATTAGGGCCAGTGGTGCTAGCAGATGGAAACAGCTGTTGGCTTCAAGGCGGTGCCCATCAGGGGCTATTACAAACAAGGTACACTTCACTTGCTTATACAAGACCATTTGGGTTTGCATCAAGTTCCATGGCGCGACTGGTGAAGGCCCAGTCACTGTGTGTGAGAACGAAGGAGAAACACGGGTTGTCACAGTAGGAGGAGGAACTGGGGCTGCTTGGCCCCAACTGGGGACAAACATACCAAGAAGTTTTTTTTCTTCTTCCTGCAAACTACATGAGGGAGACAGCGAGAGGACTGCAGACCCAGGGGGCTGAGCTCACAATGCCACACCCACCACTGCCCAGTCTTCCCTCTTGTCTGTTTCCTTGTCCAATGGCCAAGGTCACAGCTGGAGAGGGGCTTCCTCCCCCCCTCTCTTACACTTGGTGGTTAGCTCTGGGCCTGCCATGTACTTACAATGTCCCACAGAGTGCTGGACAGGCCAGGACAGGGGAGAGGTCCCCTGTGCCAAGCAGCCATAGCTGCTAGTGACAAGAGCACTGGGAAGCTCTGGGGAGCACCTGCCACACACAAAGACCTCCCAGTCCCACCCTGGGCCTCGTCCCCCCCTCCTGCCCTCTTCCCAACCCCAGGGACCTGCAGCTACTCACTGGCAAGGATGACCATGTCCATGCCCCAGAAGATGCTCATGATCCAGCCCACCATGACGATGGCTGTGAGGATCTGGATAAGGGCTGCGGCGATGTTCAGCCAGAAGACGCAACACACATGCCTGTCTGGGAGGTCGGTGCGGGCTCCGCACAGCACGGTGAAAGCCGAGACGAATGTCCCTGCCAGAAGCCAGAAAGCACAGCTTTCAGAGAGTGCTCGGAGATAAACCCAGGAGCCTGCATGCCCGTCATCACCCAGGGCCCAATTGCCCATCCACCAAGAGCTCCAAGGGTAACAGCTTTAAGCAGCACTCCCTGCTCACACCTTAGGTCAGTCCCTGCCACCTCTATGCCATACAGGTCCATGGGCCACCTGGAGAGGGTATGGCACAGGACTGCCAAGGGCCCAGCTATCATCCCAGGGTCCCACAGAAGCAGCCCCTGCTGAGAGGGAGAAGCAGGGTAGCAGCCACCTTAAGGGACAACAGGCCACCACTGGGAGGGACTCCAACTTCGAAGACAAAGATCCCAGGAGCCTAGGAGTACCCAATGAGACTGGGGTGGCTGAGATGACACAGCAATCAGTCACAGAGGCAAACTGAGGAGAGCTGGGGACAGGAGATGACCCCAGGACACACACCAGGGGTCTACAGAGTTCAGACAGAACAGACTAGGGCTGACCTCTGGGAGCCCTCCCTAGCAGCTCCCCCAGCTACCACCAGGCACCCAGACCTGTGGCCTGCACTGTGTTATTGTGATCCAGAGTGGTCCCACCAGCTGTGTGACACGAGAGCCTGCAGCCTGCACTGTATCCATCCTCTCACCCTCCCTAGCCTCTGGTGGTCAGGATTCCAAGTTTTTGTACATGTGGCAAAGAGAACAAGCAATGTTTATCCTTTTGCACCTGGCTGGCTTGGCTTAGCTGGCCCTCTTCTTACAAAGACCATTGGGTGTCCATTAGAGACCCATCTCAATAATCTCTGAAACCCTTGTGATTGCTCGAGATCCTGAATGGACTCAAGTCTGCCAAGTCTCTGTATCGCACAAGACCACCTGCTCCCAGCTTTGAAGACTGGTTTGTGGACCTCTTGGAGGCTTTTGGTCAGCCTGCCACACTGCCTCATATACACAGAGGGAGACTAAGCAACTCAGCAGCACGTCCCAGGCCACAGTCAGAGGCAGGGCATTGAACCCCATTCTCACTCAACCCCTGGGACTGGGGGGACCCTTCCTCACTCAGCCCCTGGAGTGGGGGAAACCCTCTTCACTTAGCCCCTGGAGCAGGGGAACCCCTCTTCATTCAGTCCCTAGGACAGGTGGGAGGACCCCTCCATGCTCAGTCCCTGGAAAGGGGTCCTCCTCATCCCCAGTCGAGGAGGCTAGCCCAGGTCTGCAGAAGGAAAAGTAAGGGGGCAAGAACTTGAGTTCAGGCCTTTCCCACCTCTAGGAGGAGAGAGAATGGTGCAGGGGCCGGGGTGAGATGTGGGGGAGCTGACAGCAGGAGAGAGCCTAACCAGGGCTTTGAATGCTTGGATAAGCGTTAATCCCTAACCTGTAGAAAACTGAGCTCTCAGAGTAGGTTTAGAGACTATGGGGAGAAAAGGAGCATGGAGAAGAGGATATGGTGGAATTAGAGATTTCAGAAAATGAGTTTGCTTGCAGGGTGCTGGTGGGCTTAAGGGATTTGAGATGGGAAAAGAACTAGAAGCTAAAGGTAGCAGTTGAGAAATGATTGGAGTGTGGACTTGGAACTTGGTGTGGATACAGGGGCTTAGAGACCATGAACAGTTGTGTACCACCTCCTCCACCAATGCATAATGCATGTCTGCTATAGGCTGTGAGAGGAGCCCAATGGCACCACCGCAAAGGAGGATACTGCGGAAGGAGCAGGTTGGAGGGGGCTGAACTCCATGTGCAGGGAGAACTCTGAATCACAGCCACACAGATGCCAGTAACCACACAGTGCCATGGTGCCATGCTCCCTAGCTCCTCTCCCTGTCTTCACCACCTCTAGAATCTCACCAGAATGGCCAATCCCATGGAAGACCCATGGGCCTTTTCATGGTCTCTGCTGGCCATGAACAAGGGCAGCCCTGGGGTCCAGGGCTCTGCAGCTGTGCAGGGCTGTGTAAAATAAAGAACCTCTCCACAGGCCCCAGCTTACATCAGGAAGAGACAGGCTGGGTTGGCTGTCAGTTTGAGAAGCTGAAAGACACACAGTTCCTACTCACCAGTTCACTCTCTAAATGTCTGCAGCTGCCAAGGCTAGAGCCAGGAGCCAGGAATTCAATCCAGGTCTCCCACACAAGTAGCAAAGGATCCAGCCACATGAGCCATCACCACTGACTCCCTGGGTGCACAATGGCAGGAAGTTGGACTTGGGGACCAGAGTAGACTACTGAACTTGGGCACACCAATAGAGGCTGCCAGCATCTGGACCAGTAGGCCAGATGCCCATCTTCTCCATCACGTAGGTCAGCCCACAGGAGCACATTTGTGGTGTAGGGACTGATTTGAGCCACTACTCTACTCACATGGCTGTACTCATGATAACTTGAAGACACACATGCAAATAGCACATTGTACACACTCTGGCTGTGCAACAGATTCACACAAATGCAGTGGCACCAACAGAGATTTCACCATTCGCGAAACAATGACAGTAAGTCCTTGTTGCCATACAAGGCAGCACCCCCCACATAAGGAAGGAATAAGTTGATGGGTGTACAAGGACACTCCAACACGTTCTGGAAAATGGAACTAGAAGATAAGCCTGTTTTGGTGCCAAAAAATCCTGAAATCCATTCAGCTTTTTCATAACATGCATTTCCCAGAACTTCGTAAAGACTGTCTATTTGAGATGAAAAATATTGTTTTAATCTTTTCAGCAATAAACTTAAGAAATTGTGTTAGCACATTTTCATATGTAGAGGTGCTAATTATTTTAAATGAATCTTACCCGTTAAGTAAAGAGTTCTCCCCAACCATAGGGTGTCAGATCCCATGTGTTCCATATACCAAGCTGGAGTCTAGAGAGGAAGAGACCAGGCAGGTCCTGGGGACCTGACCCCTCCCATTGCAGAATCATTAGGCCACTCACACCACAAGTAGTTATGAATGCAGCACAGCCATAGCAGGAGAAACTGCACAGAAGAGCAGACAATTAAGGGTCTCTAGGTAGCTGATGGGGACTCAGGAGGAGGAGAGAGAACATGTGGAGACAGATGTCCAAGGACTTAGAGCATAGCGGGCATAGCTGAATTCGTGGCATGTGCAGAAGAGCAAGGAGAACCCAGGCTGGGAAAGGGCCTGTGGGTCTGGCCCTGCAGTCTGACTTCCTCTTCCAGCCAATGGGAAGCTGCTGTGAAGAGTTCTAATGGAGAGCTGGAGGGTCAAGTTTGAACTAACGTTGTGATTCCAAAGGGAAGATGGTCAGAAAGGGTGAGGTGGCAAGAGGGCCGGGGGAGGAAGTGTGGCCCAGTCCACAGCAAGATGACGGAGGAGCTAGGGTAGCATAACAGAGGGCACAGAGGGAAGACTTACAAAGACAAGAAGGGTTGCAGCCCTGAATTGCACTACCTGCTACATGTTGAGATGGAGGAGGAGAAGGTGCACAGAATGACTCTGGTTCTCCCATTTTCCATTCCACCTGCTGAGGGCGGAGCATGGAAGATGGGGAGGGAATCATGCTGGAGACTGTGATTCAGGCTATAACCGCCTCCCAGAAAGGAAGAGGATCATAGAGGAGGACATGAAGTGCAAGGAAAGAAAGTCAAGGACAGACACAGGACAGATGGAGGCCAAGCAGAGAGGCTGGAAGAGAGGGCTGCAGACACAGGCGTGGAGGACCTCCAGGAAGAGACAGGGGATAGGCCCACCGCGGCAACCATACTCTCTGGACTGGACCAGGTGGAGTCCCTGGGGTGGCCTCTGCAGGGAGACTGGGAGGTGTCTGCAAGCCACAGCGCAGGGTCTAGGAGAGGATGGGCTGTGGATCCCAGGCCCTGAGTGAAGGCTACTCAACATGAAATGCAAGTCTGTGCAGGCAAGAAAAAAGGATAGAGATCTGTCCAGAGAGGGTGTCTGTGGACGTTCCTGAGCAGATGGGAGGGCTATTTGGAAGGGGCTGGAAGGCAAGGTTTCCCACACCAGCATGACACTTGGACAGAGCTCCACAGCAATGCAGATTCCAAGGCCCCTACCTGCAGACCACCCACAGCACAGGGACATCCAGGAATAAAACACTCCCCAGCTGACACTAAAGGACAACCAGGTATGAGAGCCTTCCCTATAAGGGAAAGAAGTTAACTTCACAGATCCAGGTCCAGGAAAGCACATAAACCTTGCTGGGAACGAGTTATCTATGCTGGCCTTTCCCTTGGGCCATAGCATCCCCTGTGTGACTCAGAGCTGAAGTTAATCTCAACAGAGGAGACAGGGAGATAGGGCCCTGAGCCTGGTGCTCCGGAGGTGCCAGGACTTGGCTAACACTGACTAGCCCAAGGAAAATCCTGGTCATGAACTATGCTGTCAACCCCAGGGCAAACAATCTATAAGACACCTGGCACATAGGCACACACTGGGCATACAGGCACACACCTGTACTTCACACATCCTGCTGTGATGTGAGAAAGCCAGGCAGCTAGGAACAGCCTAAGGAAGCTCCCCCCACCAGCCTTTGCAGGCAAAGCCTCTTGGGCCACCGCTGTTCCTGCTGTTGTTACCTCTGGGCCAGCAGCTTTCCCAAAGAGCCCAGTGCTTCAGGCCAAGACACGGCCACAGGAATGGAAAGGTGCAGGAATCCCCAAGGGGGCTCTCTGGGCCGAAACTCCAGGTTCAAATAGTCAGCAGGAAGGAGTTGGCTGAACACCCGCCCCGTCCCAGGGCCTGGCCATGTGTCCTGCACACTCCTCTGGCTAACACAGGCCACGGCCATAGAGGGCCAATGTATGTCTAAGGTTAGACCAGGTCTATATCCCTAGGACCTCTGTCCAGTAGCATTTGTGAGGTTGTTGGGCCTTGTTCCTGCAAGCACAAGAGAAACAGTGGAAGTAGCCACTGTTGTCCCCCCACAGAAGAGGAGCAGGTACCCGGGCAGGCCCAGGGCCTCCCTGGATTCAGCTATCCACCTGGTGCCCATGGGAGCCCTGGGCTGTGCGGGGTTTGGGTCAGGCCCGATC